TTTTCACAGTGCTTGTACCATTTTACATTCCCACCAGCAGTGTATGAGAGTTCCAGTCTCCCAACAATCTTCCCAGTATTTGTTATTTACTGTTTTTTTGATCAGTAACATTATTGGCAGGGTGATATGATACCTCTTTGTAGTTTTGATTCTTTATGTATTAGTTAACTGTTTGAATGTCCTCTTTGGTGAAGTGTCCATTCATATCCTTTGACCATTTTTAAATTAAATTATTTGTCTTTTTGTTGTTGAAGTGTTAAAGTTTTAAAGATTAGTCCCTTGTCAGATATGTCATAGCCAAAATTTTTTCCCAGTCTGCTTCTCTTTTTACTCTTTTGGAGAAGTCTTTTGATACACATAAGTATTTAATTTTTAAGAGGTCTCAATGTATAGTTTATCATCTGCTGTTTGTGTGGTTTTAGTTATGTTTGGTAGACTATCTTTGCCATAAATTAGGGCCCCTAGGTTTGCCGCCTATTTTTTCTTCCACTATCTTTATAGTTTTAGATTTTACATTTAGGTCTTGATCCATCTTAAGTTAGTTTTTGTGAATGGTGTGAGGTATGCATTCTGTTTCATTTTTCTGCAAATGGATATCTGGTTTTGGCAATACGTTTATTAAAGAAAATATCTCTCCTCCATTTAATGGATTTGACCCTTTATCAAAAATCTACAGGTAAATGGGTTTGCTTGTGTTGTTGTTGCTTTGTGCCATCACGTCCGACCCGACTCATAGCAATCCCTCCTTGGGTTTCCAAGGCAGTATCACTACAGAAGTAGATTGCCTAACCTTCCTTCCGAGGAGTGGCTGGTGGATTTGAACTACCAGCTTTGTGGTTAGCAGTCAAGTACCTTAGGAAATACGCTACCAGAGCTCCTGGGTTTGCTTCTAGATTCTCAGTTCTGTTCCCTTGGTCTATATGTATGTCATACCAGCACCAGGCTGTTTTGACTACCATGGCTGTATAGTACGTTCTGCAATGGGGAACTGGGAGCCCTCTCACTTTGTTCTTCCTATCCAGAATCTCTTTCCTTTCCAAATAAAGTTGGTGATCCATTTTTCCATCTTGTTAAAGAATGTTGGAATTTGGACTAGTGTTGCATTCTGTATATAGATCATTTTAGGTAGTATTGACATTTTCAAATGCTAAGTCTTCCTTTCCATCAGCATGGGTATGTTTTTCCATTTACGTAGATTCCTTTTGGTTTCTTGCAGTACTGTTTTCTAGTTTTCTTTGTATAAGTCTTTTACATGACTGGTTAGATTTATTCCTAAGTATTTTATCTTTTGAAAGGCTATTGTAAATGGTATTGCTTTCCTGATTTCTTTTTTGGAATTCTCAGTTAGTATAGAAGAAACTGATTTTTATATGTTGGTCTTGTGCCCTGCCACAATAGGGCTATTCATTCTCCTAACTTTCTTGTAGAATCTCTCAGATTTTCTATGTAAACGATCATGTCATCTGCAAATAGGGATAGGTTTACTTCTTCTTTATCAATTTAAATGCCTTTTCTTTCCCTTTCTTTCCTTACTGCTGTAGGTAGGACTTCCAGTACAATATTTAATAAGAGTGATGGTAGAATAAACCCTGGTCTGGCTCCTGTTTTCAAGAGGAATGCTTTCAGTTTCTCTCTGTTGAGAATAATGTTGGTTGTTCATTTTGTGTATATGCCCTTAATTATACTGAGGACTCTCCCTTCTTTCCTATTTTGCTGAGGAGAATTTTTGTCAGGAATAGGTGTTGGACTTTATCAAGTACCTTTTTTGCATCAAATGACATGATAAAATGGTTCTTTTCCTTTGTTTTATTTATATATAGTGGATTATGTTCCTTGAATGTTCTGATGTTTTTTAACTATCCTTACATACCTGGTATGAATCCCACTTGGTCACAATATATTATTTTTTGGTATGCTCTTCCAACCTATGGGCTAGAATTTTGGTGAGAAGTTTTGCATGAGGGATGTTGGTCTAAAATTTTCTGTTTTAGTGGTGTCTTTGCCTGGCTATGGTATCAGAGTTATGCTGGCTCCATAGGGTAGATTTAAGAATATTTCATCCTTTTCTAAATATATCCTTTGCTGAAATAGTTTGAGCAGAATTGGTATCACCTCTTCTCTGAATGTTTGGTAGAATTCTCCAGTGAAGCCATCTGGGCCAGGGCCAGAATAATAGAATAATGATATTCTATTATTTTTTTGGGAGGGGGGTTGTTAATGACCTCTTCCATTTCTTCCTTTGTTATGGTCTGTCCAAATTTTCTACCTCAGTTTGTGTTAGTTTAGGTAGGTAGTGTGTTTCTAGGAGCTCTGATAGGGTAGTGCCTAAGGTACTTAACTGCTACCAGAAGGCTAATGGTTCAAACCCACCAGCCACTCCTTGGAAGGAAGGTGGGGCAATCTACTTTCATAGTGATACCACCTCGACGGCACATAACAACAACAGCAGCAGCAAGAAGTGTGTTTCTAGAAGTTTGCCCTGTTTCTTCTAGGTTTTCCAATTGTTGAAGTACAATTCTTCGTAATACTCTATTAGGATCCTTTTCATTTCCGTTGATTCTGTTGTACAGTCACCACCCATTCCTTATTTGTGTTGTTTGCATCTTCTGCTTTTCCTTTGTCAATTTAGCCAGTGGTTGGTTTGTCAGTTTTATTGAGCATATCAATGAACCAGGAGCTGCAGTGGCACTGTGGTTAAAGCACTGGGCTGCTAACCGAAAGGTTTATGGTTGGAAGCCACCAGCTGCTCTGTGGGAGAAACATAATCTGCTTCTGTAAAGATTTACAGCCTTGCAAACCCTATGGGTGGAAGGGCAGTTCTAATCTGTCCTATGGGGTTACTATGAGTTGGAGTCAATTCAGTGGCAATGGTTTTGGTTTTTGTTAGTTCAAAGAACCAACTTCTTATTCTTTGTACATTTTTGTTTTCTATTTCAGTTTTTTCCTGCTGTAATCTTTATTTCCTCTGTTCTTAACTGTGGAATTCTTTTTCTGCTCTTTTTCTGTTTGTTCAAGTTGTATGATTAAGGTATTAATTTTAGCTTTTTTTTTTTTTTTTTTGGTGTGTGCATTTATTGCTATAAATTTTATGCTGAGCATTGCTTTTGCTATGTCCCAGAAGTTTTGGTATGTTATATCTTCACTTTCCTTTTATTCCAAGAATTTTTAAATTTTACTTTTACTTTCTTCTGTGACCCAGTAGGTTTTAAGTAAGATACTATTTAGTTTTCATGTATTTAATTTTTTTTCCCTTGCTCATTCTGTTACTGATTTCTAGTTTTATAGCATATGGTCAGAGAAGATGCTTTGTTTGTGTATTTGTTGAAACTTATTTTGTGGCCTAGAATATGGTCTATTCTGGAGAATGATCCATGTGTTTTGGAGAATGTATACTGTGCTGCTGCTGGGTGGTGGAGTGTTCTGTGTATGTCTGGAAGGCCGGGTTGGTTGCTCATATTATTTAGATCTTCTGTGTCTTTATTGAGTTTTTCTCCAGTTCTGTCCATCATAGGAAGTGGTGTATTAAATTTCCTATTTATATTAGAGTTATATATTTTAGAGCTCTGTATTGGGTGCATAGATAATTATTGTTATATCTTCTTGGTGGATTGACCTTTTAGTCATTATATAATGCCTTCTATCTAAGGCATTCAACTACTAACCAGAAGGCTGGCAGTTCAAACCCACCAGCCACTCCTCAGAAGGAAGGTTGGGCAATCTACTTCTGTAGTGATACCACCTTGGTAACCCAAGGAGGGTTTGCTGTGAGTCAAATCTGACTCAACAGCAGTGAGTTTGGTTCTTTTTGGTTTTGTCTATTATGGGAGCTCTGGTGGCATAGAGCCTAAGGCATTTGACTGCTTACCAGAAGGCTGGCGGTTTGAACCCACCAGCCACTCCTCGGAAGGAAAACTAGGCAATCTGCTTGCGTAGAGATACTGCCTTGAAAACCCAAGGAGGGGTCATTATGAGTCGATGGCAGCAAGCTTGGTTTTTTGGTTTGTCTATTATAAGGAGCTCTGGTGATGCAGTGGTAAGGCACTTGGCTGCGAATCATAAGATCAGCAGTTTGAATCCACCAGCTGCTCCATAGGAGAAGGATGAGGCAGTCTGCTTTTACAGCCTTGGAAAACTCTATGGGGGTCACTGTAAGTAGAAATTAACTCAATGTCAGTACGTTTGTCTATTATAATGGATTTTGACTTAAACTCTATTTAATCCAAAATTAATATTGCTACTCCTACTTTCTTTTGGATAGTGGTTCCTTGATGCTTTTTTTTTTTCCCCATCCTTTGATTTTTTTTTGAAACTTGTTTATATATTTGTGTCTACGGTGTGTCTCTTGTATGCAGCATATTAATGGGCCATGTGTTTTTAATCCATTCTGCCATTCTCTGTTTCTTGACTGGTACATTTAATCCATTTACATGCAGTGTGATTGATAGGTATGAACTGCTAAGGTGCCACCACTTCATATCTCTCTCCTTGTTCACAGTTTGTTTTTTGTTTGTTTTGTTTTGTTTTTTAAAATCAGTTTCTTTTTGCTGTTGGTGTTCTGTCTAATTCTTTGTCCTTTCATTTGATTTTCAGGGTTCCAAGATTATCATCTGTATCTGTTTCACTTGGGTTTTCGGGTCTTGGCTGTCGGGGGACTTACATGGTGTGCCTGACTAAGCTGCCATCTTGATAGGTCCTCCTCTTCTGTCTCTTTTACTCTTTTTGGACTGTTGTGTTTTTTCATGCTTTGAACTTTCTTTGAAGAGTCCAGAATAGTTATCTTTAGAAAGTCCCACATTCTGAATTTTTCTTTCCTCATGATTAGATTTGCATGGATTTGTCATGTTGAACATTTTTAGCACATCTGTGATATTGTGTGCTTCTGATTATATGACATCAGGAGGCACCTGACACTAATTTAAAATTTTTAATCTATTTCATTTGTAATTAGTAGCAACAAAGGCTTAATTGCTTGAATTGTTTTTTTTTCATCTTTCACATAGACAACAACAGAACGACCTTTCATTCAGAAGCTGTTTCGTCCTGTAGCTGCAGATGGACAGTTGCATACACTAGGAGATCTCCTGAAAGAAGTTTGTCCTTCTGCAGTTGCTCCTGAAGGTAATCAGCAACATTGGAGCATTTCTTTCATTTTTGTTTTAAAGCCTTTGTTACTGAGTTAGCATTAGCATTCTACGTTTATAAATTACATTCTATTGGGTTGCTTCAGGAAGATACTTGTATCATTATCTTGTAGGGAAAAAAATCTTTTGAAACAGAAGCATTTAATATTTAATTTATATTTTTAAAATAATTGACATTAACAAAGTCCAGAATTGACTCTCTTTAGCAAAATTAAATATACCATTTAAAATTATCTTGTTATTACAACTATGGTCTTTTATTTCTGAATTCAATTATGGTAAATAATCAAACATTATTAACCTCTTAATCCTATGGATCCTATTCCATAGGTTTTATTAATTTTGAACAGTGATTCACAAGTATTTTCTCTCAAAATGTAACTTGTCTTTGCCTTTTCAGATGAAGCATTGAAATTTTTCATTTTGATGAAATTTATCAAGTTGTATGGTGGTGGTATTGCTTTTGGAGTGTGCTTTGTTAAATAATTTTTAAATGTATATTTTTTTAATTGAAAGTACACTTACATAGTGATGAAAACTATATAAAGAATTTCAATGAAAAGTCGCTCTCCCACTCCTATCGCCCACATCCTAACCCAGCTCCCCTGCCTGGAGGAAACCAGTGTTACCATTTTTCCTGATACCCTTCCAGAGATAGAAACTCAGGTTATAAAAATTTTGGCTGGGAAATTCACAGTAATTTTTTTTTAATCCAGGAATAATATTAATGTTCTACCTTATTTTCTCTGTGCTGTAAAGACTTCTTTATATTTTATTCAGTGTCTATTTTACTACGTTTTTGCATATTCTGGAATATAGACTAGGGGGTTCTGATAAGATGGCAGACTAGGCAGAAAGACTACACAGACCCTCTTCAACAAAGAAAAGGGAAACCAATTAACATAGACACAGAAGATAATCCTGGACCCCCCTGAGCCTTGAAGGAAAGGATATAGAAATGGACTAAACCCCAACTAGCAGAAGAATCTGCATGAAAATATCAAAAAAGGAAACATATGGTGCTGCAGTCTGGCAGCGATCCTGACAGCACAGCACAGACAGCTTGGAGAGTGCTGAGTGATGGTAGGACCTAAGAGTTAACCTAAATTTCAGCCCTGCTAGCCAGGGACTGCATGGAGGATTGCTCTGGTGGCTGGGGTATAAACGGAGAAGGCAAAAAGAGAAAGGCAGGCTGAGCTGTGGACTTTTGCCTGTCTGGAGGACACTGCCATTTTGAATATTTATAAGTGGCTGACCATTTTGGATATTTAAAGAGACAGCACTCTTCGAGATTCCAGGGGCTTGAGAACAGGTTCTGCTTGCCAGCAACCCCAAGGACACTCTGGACCTGCAACACTGTGAAAAGGTGCGACATTCCTCTTGTTACTCTTATACCGCACACCCGCTTGGTGAACAGAGGTCCGGCCACCCCCCACTCCCACCCTTCTGGGCACGCAGGAACTCCATCCCAGTCTGTGTGCTCAGACAGAGCCTGGGT